GTCCATTATTTATTTCTAAAGAAACACGACAATGTATAAAAGGCTCCATTACTTTCTTACGTTATGGCCCCGTAGAAGCCGTTTTTGTAAAAATAGGCTAACGATTGCGTCATAACCACGCGACTCTTTGTCGCACAGTAGAGAAATTACTGTATAGACAGGAGGAGAAGCTAGCAGGCAATCGGGGGGACGTGGAGGCATAAAGTCAAGGGAGAATCCCATAGAGAGTTGTAAAGTTGATCCTGCTTCTAGCTCATGGACAGCTGCTACTCACGCTCTCAGTCTCTGCAAGATTTGGAAGGGAGTGATTCAGATTTCTCTTGGCACAGCTACTAGAAGACTTACATCTGTCAGAAAGGTGCTCATGTTACATCTACGTCGTCAAGCTCAGTTTGAGCCTGTGCAGTGCATTTAGCCATCAGGAAGTGAGTGATTCTAATTCGCTTCACTTTTCTCCGTTGAAATCTATGAGGTCGCTGTGTCCATTTCTTTTACTGTCTATCTTTTACAGCCATTATTTAAAATTGGAATTTCTCTGAAATTAAAAATCTTTGGGAACTTTTGGGATATTGTAAGTACACAACTGCAGGAAATATATCACACTGTGCAAGTGATTTTTTGATATTTTATTACAAAAATCTTACATATTGTATCTTTAACTTGTCTTTATCTAAGTTTTAGTCCCAGTGTGTGTTTAATGTACCTTTTAGATTGGTTTGATCTCTGTATGGTTTGTTTTGAAATAGGCATCAGTGCGGGTAAGTGTATTCGTGATTAGTTTGGTTTCATAGCAGGGTCAAAGTGCAGTGTCCAGCTGGTCCTGTCCACAAAGGATCATTTCTATTTGTGTTTGAAGGCCAGTTTGTGGGCCCCCGGCGGTTTTTGAAGATGATTTAAAACTTTTTTTTTTAAATCAGAAGCTGTCGAATGCGTAAAAGCCCATGTCTTATAAAGGCACCCCTGTAAAAAGACTTATACAGTTAGCAGAAGGTGGAAATGCAGAATGCCTGTACAACAATTAATGAGTGGGTGAATTTGTTGTGTAGGATGTGTAAAGTAGGAGGCCCACTTGTAATGTTAAATCAAAATGGAGATTATTTTGTGAAAATGTTTGTGCTGACAGTAGTAGTCCAATATACACAAAACAAAAAGGTGCTAATGTGAATATCCAAAAGAGGTCATAAATAAATGAACACACAAAAGTTCCTTTGTATAAATTCAGAACCTCTGATTGAACAATTCACTGTTATATGATTTATTTGTTTGTTTTTCTTGTAAGAACTGGCAGTACACAAGTTGTCCTGGGCTTCCTCCCCTCTGTCACAGCGAATGAGAGACGCCTGCCTTCCACCCACTAACCTGGAAAATATTTCCCACCTTTTCCATGAGTACATTCTCTTTGTGCTGTTCTCTTGAAATGACAGGACATTTAGTATGTACTTAACCCATTCGGACCCTGCGTCCATTACAATGGACATCACATGTCAGCCTTTTTTTCTTTTTTTTTTTTTTACTTCTGGAGCATTTCACCTAGTTTAAAGCCTGCAGTCCATGAGATTGGACGTTTTTCATCCAATCAAATGGCAGTAAAGCTCTGCATGTAGTAATTATAAAAAAAAAAAAAAACTACATTGAAGAGAAGCATGGCAGCACTTCACTCCAACCACAGAAGCAAGCAAGATTTTCTATTGTTTTATTTACATTTTTTTATATTTTTGCCAGTATTTCATAGTTTCTATGTAAAATAGAAAGATTGAACTTATTAATTAAAATTAAAAATCGATTGTAGAATTGCAAGTTTTAAATCAGGATTTTTTCAAATGTGTCTGTCCATTATAATTGACAGTGGGTTCGAAAGCCTGTTACTGAAATCACATTTTCAGTAATGCTGATTGAAATTTCTTATATAAAAAAAAATCTATATCACAGTACCGATACATTTTTAAAACATTTTCATATGCAGAATATACAGTTCTTGACGTGCTTGAACATATAGCTGATGGAAATATCTCAGATGTTGACTTTATGTGGAGTGATGAGAAAGATGGAGATGTAAGAAAAATATCTGTATTTAAAACTTTATAAAGTAAAATAGCTTCCGGCCAAACGAACACAAGGATTTGACTTAAATCTAAAGCGCAACATGAATATTATACATTTTTTTACACAAACGCATCGCTTCGCTTCAGAAGGCCTTTATTAACCCCCCAGAGTAGTGTGGAGCACTTTTATCATGGATAGATGCACTTTTATGGACTTTCAAAACAGAAACAACCATTCACTGCCATTATAAAGCTTGGAAGAGCCAGGACATTTTTTAAAATTACTCTGATTGTATTCGAAAGAAGAATGTCATATACACGGCTTGAGGGTGAGTAAATCATGGGCTAATTTAAATTTTTGGGTGAACTATCCCTTTAAAGGTATAGTTCACCTTAAAATTATATTTGTCATCACTTACTCACCCTCATGTTGTTCCAACCCTGTATGAGTTTCTTTATTCTGCTGAACACAAAATAAAATATTTTAAAGAATGTCGGTAACAAGACAGTTGACAGTATCAGTGACTTCCATAGTATTTTTTTCCCAACTATATATTTTCCTAATAACTATATTATATTATTATAATGTAATATTATCATTATTATTAATTATTTTGAAAATTACAATAATATTTAGCAATAATGTATCAATATAGATATTACAGTACAATACCGTATTAATTACAGCAGAACCAGACCAAATTACGGAATACAGTAAAAAATACAGTAAAGTACTATTTTGTATAGTTTACAGTACTGATCTTGTGCACTGTAAAGTGAATTACACTACAGTTACTGGAAATTGAAATACAGTAACTTGCTGGCAACCGTGCTGCCAGTAATGTACTGTAAAAATACAAGAACACCGTTAACAGAGAAATTGTTTCAAAGATGCACACAAGAAAATGACTCTAATGTGAATGCATTGATTGATTCCTAGGTTTATTTTGTTATGAATAAACAAATGTGCGATCTATGAAGCAAAAACCTACAATTAAAGTTGAAATGTTATAATGTTCAAGTTTTTTATGTAAAAAAAGAAAGATGCACACAGAAAATGACTCTAATATGACCATATTGATTGATTTGAATATATTTAGTTTGTTACAAACAATGTGCAATCTGTAAAACAAAAACCTCAAAATTAAAGTTGAAATGGTATACTGCTGAAAATGTTTTGACCTTGAGAAAAAGCTTAAAGTATAGACCAACAATTTTTATGTTTATTAATTTATTTCATGTTGGTACATTTTTTTGGGAAGTACACCTGTTTTGACCTGACGTCCATTGGAATGGACAAAAAACAAACATTTGATCTCATTTATAGAAGCCTCATGAGCTGGGAAAATGTACTTTTATATTTTTCAGAAACTTGAAACATAATTCATGTCTAAAGGGGTTAAATCGCCAATATTTGTAGCCAATATAATCATTTTAATGAAACCAAAATAAAAATAAAATAATTATTTTAGACACAATATCTTATTTATTAATGTGACATTCTTTAGACAAACGTGTTGCTATAACAACTGCACATGACTATAGCAAGAATCTACTATCCCTGCCTTTTTGGTCCCAAAAAAGATGGTCCAAAAAAAACCCACACAAAAGATTCAAGAGCTCGAGGAAAATTTTATAAAGTCTATGGAGTCTTTGAAGAGAAAAAGATAGGTGTATTACAAATAATCAAATCCTTAAATCCCTTAAGACTTTACAAACATTTTTTCAGCACATAATTACTTTAATAAATTCTACTTACTTAAAGGGTTAGTTCACCCAAAAATGAAAATTATCCCATAATTTACTCACCCTCAAGCCATCCTAGGTGTATATGACTTTCTTATTTCTGCCAAACACAATTATTCTAAATAATTGTAAATAAATCTTGAGTTATATTTAAATATCCTGGCTCTTCCCAGCTTTATAATGGGAGTGAATAGAGGGTTCGAAGCTTCAAAAAGCACATCCATCCATCATAATCCATATGGCTCCAGAGTTAATTAATACAGGCCTTCTGAAGTGAAGCGATGCATTTTTGTAACAAAAATAAAAAATAAAAATCCATATTTATAACTTTATAAACTATAATCCCTTCTTCCGGTCACGGCCATATGCGATTCTAGTTCTGGCAGAAGAGTAATAATTTTTGGGTGAACCCTTTAATACTACTAATAAACTCTTCTAAACAATACATTCCTCATGTCAAGCAAAGTGATGGATAACAGGACAGGAAGAGTAAACATAAACATAAAGTTCTGAAGTATTATAAAGTACAGTCACAGTTTACTATGAACAATACTGATAGATTTGGAGCAAAACCCTGAGATGCAATTGTGTAAAAACAGCTTCATACAAAACAAGGTCTGTCTTTCAATTAAATATACATAGAAACTCATCACACCATTAACTGATAATGAACAATAGTTTTCCTTGTCCACTACAGCTGAGTTTTGTTAATACAGTAATGGTAGTTTAAGATCCATAACACATTAGTGCATAGAAATGTTCATCATTTAACTATGTTCACATTGCTATAATTCATTGAATTTGTAGAGTCAAAACTAAATTTCCATTTCTTACATTCAAACCATTTAGGAAATGCAAATAGATTTTTTAGAAATGTGCAGCCTGCCACATTTACTTTTAGGTGATTAAGTGAAATCCAATAATTTCAATAGGAATCCACAAGAATTTCGCTACGGGTTCAAGTTGGCCATGGATTCTTGGCTTAAAAGGGACTTCTGTGTAAGCTGTGCTTCATGCATCACTACATAGACAGTGGACAAATCTGCTACAATTTCACTAATGTGACAACACCTTAAGCGTCTGTGCGTTAAGTGGTTTGGGCTGAAATGCAAAAATGTAATACTTAGCAGTTTAGATAAATAAGCTCCTACTTGGGTAAAATTAAGATAATACTTTTCATAACAATTACAAAATATCAAACCATTCACAATCAAATATACCACCAATATTTTCAGTAATTATCCAAACTCACTCACGCACAACACAGCCTCATCTACCCACAAATGCCTGCAAAAAATAAAAAACTGTAGCACACTCAAAAAAAAATTGATATCTCATTCATATTGGAGTATGTACTGTTGTCAGTCAGTAAAGGCACTTTCAGGAATCCTGTGTAAAAAAGGATTTATGCTTTCATATTTGGTTCATCTCTAGTGCTGGAGGATTCTTTGTTTTGGGCTTGGAGCCCAGAGCTTCAGCTTCTTTCAAAGTCGAGGTGAGGGGCTGTCCTAGAGTCTCTGGAAGAAACATGGTCAGGATCCCGATGATGAAAGCCAGAATTCCCACAATGAGCTACAGAATAAGAGAGAGCAGAAGTTACTGCAGCACTGTTCAGTCCAGAAAATGTATATTCGTGTTGTATCATGCTTTAAGTCTTAATGTTGTAAGTCTTAAACAATTGACCAGACAGTCAACAGAAGGTTTTTGATTGCGGTTCCATACCTGAGGCAGATAGATCCAGATGTCAGCGAGGTAAACGCAGAAAGGAGCCACCACACTTCCCACCCGACACATCATACTACCACTGCCAACAGCCAGAGACCTGCCGGACCAGATATGGTGTCTGTTATTAAATATAGTGTCTATACAAAAAATCACTGGAAAGCATATTTGTAACGATCATCCTACTGTACAGTGAACTTCAGAAACTGATGAAATTAAAACTACAGCAGAGAGATTGAACCGTTTGTGCAGTTTAATCAAGTCCAATTATGATATTGTAGTGCATCAGAGTGTTTTATGTTACAGTAACATATCTATTGCAGACAGTGTGTATCGTGAGGTAGTTAGTGATAGACAGCCTAAAGGCTGGAATACACAGTTTTTTGCAGTCTGGACAAGTCAACGCTAGTCGCTGAAAGTCTGAGCCAGTCTGGAGATTTTCGGCAGTTAGACTTTACCACAAAAAAAATGCAGTGTAAGATGGGAACAGACAAATGTTTGATATTTTGAGCTGATTTTAGAACACATTGTTTTCATTTGTCATTGCTAGGAGATGCATGTTTCTGTGAGAGTTTGTTGTGTTCGGAGCATCCAAAAAGTCTGGTTGTGTGTGATCATCAGTCGTTCAATGCATGATTCCCAGTATGTCTCTCTAACATTTATATGTTGAGAAGTGTATGACCCCATTCAGATATTAAATGTGGTGTAGTGTCTAGCCTTTAGTGTGGACAATCTGGACTTATAGTGTATTAGTACAACAAATACCTGATAGTTGTGGGGTAAAGCTCACAGGTGTACAAGTAAATCAGACCGAATGCAATGGCAATGGCGAATTTCCCTGTCATACTCAGGACTATAGCCAATACCTCAATATCCTGAAATGAAGAGAGAGAAACACAGTGAAACTACATTTATCAGCAACAAAGTTTTAGTCATCAGCTGTTGGAAGTGTTTGCCAGTAGCAGGCCATAGTAGGGCTGCATTCAATTTGGGATCAGGCACAAGTCTAAACGTCCCCAAGACATATCCCCTCGGACCCCTCTCAGAAGCAGGCAGCTGCCATATGTATAAACAGCCACTTAGATGACAGGTCTATTTATACATTTTTGGAGCAACGGTGGCTGTGCTAACGCCACACTCGGCCATTTCAGTGTGTCAGCAGTGCAGCTATTAGTTATGAGGGGTGACGTGATCCTGATGGAATATCATCCCACTAACGCATTCTTCATAGCCTGTGCTTTCAGTGACCAAGGCTGTTTGGAGACTGACTGAGAAATGCGCTCCATAGTTTACATATTTTACTTACATTCCTTGATTTCTATCATTCATATTGCTCCATTTATGTGACCTGAATTTTTAATCAATACATAATAAATGAAAGAGTACTGTTGTTCTTAAAATTTTGATATTCAGACCAACAGCACATTATTGTGATTCTTTTATACAGTTCAGTGAACAATAAGGTAATATTGACATAATATTGCCACTTACTTAATCTATTTTTGGCTCGCCAACAAAAATGATATAATATGAAGTAGTATCAGAATGAATGTTTTGTAAAAAAAACCTCAGTGGTTCGATTCAGTAATTCACTCATTTTGTTTCGTTCTAAATAAGGGGAAATTAGTAAGATGTCTAAATTCACAATATTCATAACAGTTGGCGAAAAGTACCTGCATGGATATCCTACTTGGACACTTTATTCAATGGACACTTTACTATCCCATGAGCCCATGGGAGAGGATTTGTAAAAGGTAGTGAAGCTGGTAGCAAATATTCATACTACACACATTCATACTATATTATAGAACATACTTTTTTAATGATTGTGAAGTAACTACTTATTAAAAACAATTACCTACTCGAGTTACGAGTAGGCGATAATCGGACGCAGTCGGAACAAATCAGTGATTCAATGTGTCACTTATAAAGTAAGTAATTTGTTTAGTTACTGAATGAATCAGTGTATTGAACTAATCAGTTGAGTGATTTAATTACTCATAAAGTGTGACTTTCCGCCACCTACTGGGGGATTGATGTAAGTTAGAAAGAGTCGCTGATGTGTATACTAATAGTGCAAGAGTTTTGTGAATAAGCTAATCTTTTTAGACACTATTGTTATAAATTGCAACGTTTAACAACCATGAGGGTTAAAAGCAGTTAAATGTATTGATTCTGATTCAGTTATGTGTGTGAGCATGGCATTTACTGAAGTAGCAACTGAAACATTTTTACTTTTTTAACCTTTCATCCAACAGCAATGGTAAACTGACATACAAGGCATGTGCACATGTATTACTCTCAAGAAGCCAAGAAGACTATCTTACACCTGCAGATCTATAATTCAAGAGGCTGCTAGGACACTGCGAAAACCGCCACTTATTTTAAGTTAAACTTAAGTTTGGCACTGAACAGAAGGGGATAGTTGTCCAGTTGACACTTGAAACCAACTACAGCACAGAGAGAGGAAAACATACTGACATGACTACTGTGTCAAATATATTAAAATAAATTTAGCATGTAAAAATAATGCATCCAATTGAGCATGTGCAGTGTGAGTGTCATCACTCTAGCTTGTTTCTGATTGGAGAAAAATGACATGTTGCAACCATCCCCTATTGCAATTATCCCTGGTCTCCCCTATATGAAGTGGGATGTGTATGCCGTGACCAATCGTTTCACAAACACACCCGCGTGTCTTCAGCACACGAAAGAGTCAAAAATATAATAATTACAGACATGCCACCCTGCACACTAAAAAAAATTACACTTGTCAGCCGAATCAACAGAGGAGCTGTTACATGTACTGAGAGTAAATATATATAATGTCGCTAGTGCTTGGGTAGAAATCAAAACTTGATTCAGAAGATGAATCTTGATTGGATCATATGCAGTGAATGTATTACTGCTGTTTAAAGCACTAGGGAAGAAGAGTGAAAGAAATCAAGAAAGCGGGTGGAAAAAGGTTAATTACAAACAACAAAAGACTGATGCGCAGCTGCCCCAGTTACCATGTGAAAAGCAAACACACACACATGTCCTCTCTTGCCAGGGTTAATCATTCATTTTAATAATCACTCAGTTTTTCCAATATGATGATGATGCAACGTGTTGCATATTGGTTCTAGATCTATCAAAACAACTTAAAATCACGAGTTATGGTCAGCTGTCAAGTTGATTTAGCCAGATTGAGATTTTCCATAATTGGTTAGAAATTTGAATGACTCATTTTAAAATTTGCTATGAAAAGTAAATACATAGCCTAGAAAAGAGAGAATATATAACTCTTTCTCTCTCTCTCTAACATACTTTACTCTAAATACATTTCATGCTTCCTTTTTCATTTTTCATTATTGATCTCATTGTAAAATAATTTGATAACGCTTTATTTTACAGTATCCCTGTTACACATTTTACATAGTTACTTTAGTAATTACAGTCAATTATGCATAGTTACATGCAACCAAACCTTAACCCTAATTATATAGTAAGTACATGTAGTTAATTACTATTACTTAGTACTTTATTGTATACTTACACTGTTACTGTTTTTTTTATTTCGACCTCAATCATTTCGATTTCAAAATCTCATAACTGAATATCCCAGTGAAAACGACAGGCTTCTCTCTGGTGACGTATGCAGGACTTCTCCAATCATTTAGTCTGCTATAACCTGCACATGCAAGCTTGCATTCATCTGCCTTCACTTTTGAGTGAAACTCTCACATCTAAAAATCCAATCAACAACTGATACATAGAACCATGTAATCTACATTTAATCTTTTTAGATAATCTGTTACACTTAGCTGTATGTCACAATACAGAAGATAAGGTTGTTGCTACTTCCATTTCATTGTGAATTTAACAGTGTACTACTATATCACATGATGCACACACACACACACACACACACACACACACACACACACACACACACACACACACACACGTGATCTCATACCTGGGGCACCACAATAATGAGGATGCAGGCTACTCCACCGAGCAGCAGAGCCGGGGCACATGTATTCTTCCTGCCGACACGATCCATTGCAAAGCAGCCAATCAAGTATGACGGAATCTCAACAGCACCTACAGTAGTAACAGTCAAATATAGGATAGTTAAGTGCTGTTCACTTCAGTACTACTAAAACTTAACTGCATGTAGCTCAGTGGAAATGCTCAAAATCCAGCAATGCAATACAATAAGGCATCGTGCTAGTAGATGTGTTTGCATGTATCTCTTATACTATTTTTTATTTAAACTTATTTTTGCCTCTAAAGAATAGCTCACCAAAAATTTCATTTTACAATTAAAGCTTTCAAGTTAAGGACAAGTGCACAAAGCAGTCTTATGATCCTTTTATGGTGCTTTTCCGACAAGCTTAAAAGCTACACTCTCCATTCATTGTCAACCAACAGTTTATTATCTTATATTCCATGAAAAAATTATGTGATTGAGGTTTATGACATAAGGGTGAATAAACGATTATTCTGATCTGAAAAAACAAACCACGTACACATACAAATGTTTATGTTTGTAGCACATACAAACATAACCACACATCAGTACATTACCAGCCAGGAAGAGGTTGATATACTGATTTCCTCCCAGGTTGACAGACCCCAGGCTGAAGACATAGTATCCCAAGCTTCCGATGAACCAGATAGCCCAGCAGGTGGCGCTGCGGCCAGCCATTTTCAAGCTTCCAAACATGTCCAGGATGCTTAGCCTCTTCTCGACTTCCATTGCGGTCCCACCTGATTGCTTATTATCCTTTAACAGTGCTCCATCATCCTTTAGCTCTGACACCTAAGATCAGTGATATTCCAATAAACACAAGCTGTTAACAATACCACTTTTTCTCATATCCGTTACTTTCCACAACTGTTCTAATCTTTCAATCAAGCACCTAAAATATTTCATTATAAAGTTTGCAGTATCTCAGCATTATGTACTGATCCTAGTTTTGGTCTAGGTTAGTAATTTCTAAATGTAAATAATATGATAAAATGTGTTAGTTTTGCCCATATCCTCGCAAATGCTGGCAACAGGTTTTTGGCAGCAATTGCTATGTGATATTTATTTTTCTTTGAGGTTTAAAATGCTTCTTTTAAAATTGCATTTCAAATCATGGTACCTATTTATTTTTGCAAGTCACTTTTCTTTCAATTTCCTTATTTTAACGTGGAGTCAGATAGTGCGTGATAATGTGGTGTAATGCTGTTTAACATCAAAGTATATAAGTATATATAAGGTCTATTCTGAATTTTTTTACCAGATGTCTGAGATGGGTATAATTCATGGCAGGAACGGAATTCCACGTGTTGTCAGAGTGAGTCTACCTTAAGGGTGGGTGGCAGGCCATTGAAGTAGGCCATAGTGTCCAGCAGCTCCTGGGCTTCTTTGTACCGCCCTTTAGCCATCAGGTAGAAGGGTGTTTCTGGAAACTTCCAGCAGTAGAGCAAGAATGGAGAGGTACTGAGAGTGAGGATGATCTGGTAGATCCACCAGACACGAACAAGATACCCTACCAGAGCCACTACCATGACGCCCACAGCAAAGGCAGCATGCACATGCATAGAGGTCCATGTGCGCACCTTATTTCCTGTAAACTCTGTCACATAGACAAAGACTACAACCAGATACCCGCTCGACACCTGCCAACACACAGAGAGAGAGAGAGAGAGAGAGAGAGAGAGAGAGAGAGAGAGAGAGAGAGAGAGAGAGAGAGAGACAGAGAGAGAGAGAGAGAGAGAGAGAGAGAGAGAGAGAGAGAGAGAGAGAGAGAGAGAGAGAGAGAGAGAGAGAGAGAGAGAGAGAGAGAGAGAGAGAGAGAGAGAGAGAGAGAGAGAGAGAGAGAGAGAGAGAGAGAGAGAGAGTTGGGTTAAGGGTGCTTCTGGCACTTCTAATCAGACACAGCTAATCAGTAATTCAGTTTTGGCACAGCTAATCAATAATTCTAAATAAATACCCTGATATCTTTATCAAAACATCAGAGACCAGGAAATGTTTTAAAGCAGTTAAAACGTTCACAATTGATTTACTTCTGCTTTGAGCAGCCGGTTAATCAAGAGGGTGATGCTTTTTTTTTAACAGGGCTTAAGTTGTTGTTTGTTTTTAACTACAATTTAAATAGTTATAGGAATAGGAAATAATTTATAAAGTGTTAAATTGCTTTGTTGTGTTTTAATTTAATAAAATAGAATGACTTTTCGAGTCAGTTTTCACAATATTTTTTATTCTTTCAGCAATTTATGTGTGGAGCTTCTCAGCTGTGATGAGCATGTGCATGCATGAATGTAAGTATTATGAACATGGACCAATTAATTTACCATGGCAAGAAAGAAACGCATCACCACAAAGAGGTAGTAGTTTCCTGTGAAGGCCACAGTCACCCCAAAAATAAACTGGCACAAGCTGGTAGCCATCAGAATGGGCCGTCTACCAATTCTGGAATATGGGAAAGCAAAAATGTTTATATTAAACATGATTTCATTATCTACAGAAAACTTTAGGAAGCTTCAGAAAACAAAATAGCTTTATATAAACTTTTGCTTTATATTCATTTCAACTGGAGCTTCTACAGCTTAACTTCTATGTTTCCAAACACCTGGCATGAAAGAGACTGGTTGTACTATTGGCAACTGCCAGTTAATGTATTCTATTCACAATTTGATATTTATGTGTGAACAGCTGTTTAAAGATAAACAGGCCGATTGCAATATCAAGGCAAACCAATGGGCTGTTATGCATGCAAATCTCTCACTTATGTACACCACAATTACTTCACCTTTGACCATTCCACAGTTGTTTCCATCCCTATGCATTTGTTTAATCGTTCCTAGAACAAAATAGTACTCTACTACTTTTGTTCAACCTTGACCAATCTGCAAAATGAACATGATCAAATATACAGTGGTGTCCAGTATGGAAATCGACTTTCATTCCCTGTTTCTGGAAGGTGAACCTGTGATATCCTGTTTCTATGCAGCCATCCAGTGTCTGCATATCTCACATCCTGTACTGCTCTCTGTGCTCTTAGTTTTCTTACCGCAGAAGCAAATATTTGCCAGTTGTAAACCATGCTGCAATATTAAATGTTCAAGTTTAATGTAGTACCGTACCATAGATTACACTTATCTTGTTCAACCTTGTCTCTTTTTCTGTCCTAAATAACAGATCAGTCCTGTTTGTGCTGCTGACCATGCTGTGTTCTTGCAAACACATCTCAAGTCTTATGGTAACTTTTATTCACTGCCCTGATGAAGGTAACTGTATTAAACTGTAATAATCTGTCCCATTAGCTTATCTGTCATTTTTGTCCCTCCATTGCTTTGAATGCATTTGAGTTGTGCAGTTTGGGAATTTTTTGAAAATGTCCTCACAAATATAGTGAAAATTGTCAAAACTCTACTCATGAGGACATTTGAAATGGTCTTTGCTATTTGAAATACTCATACATATGCCGAATTATGCTTTGTTTGATCTAATAATGTAAGCAGGTTTCTTTAAAGGTTAAGTTTAGGGGTGGTGTGTTTTAAATATAATTATGTTAATATGAAAACCACTGTGTCTGTGAGAGGTAATATCGCTTTCAAGTTCTGAGTGTGTGTTTGTAACCGTGTGTGTGAGTAAGATGCAACAGTCAATTTACCTGTCTGCGACATCCCCAAACACCAAGGCTCCAACCAAAACTCCCAGCATAAACGTTGGCTGTGAAAGCTTGGCCAGCCATTCCTTCTCACACACCAAGTCCCAGTCTGTTACGATGCTCTGCTCAACCTCGCTGTGATCATAGACAAAGCCACCACATGACTCCACAGTCTTGTTCCCAAAAAACTCGTATTGAAAATTGATGACATCAAGCCGCAGCGCTTTTAAACAAGGACTAAGTTCCCACTGGTCTCCTCTAGCTGTCCGTACAACCACTGGCCCATCACCTGGCTTGTAGTGAGTCCAGATATCTGCCAGAGAGGTTGATGAGTGATTTCTATATAGAATGTCTGTAATATTTGGAGTGTCACAAAGAAATTTAGGCGTTTCAACTAAGAAAACCGATGCCAGGTAATGTATTCCACAGGAGATGGCCTGGAAAATAGCAGCAAAGTAGAGACATGCCTGAAACCTGAAGGTAAAGTAGAAGGATAAATTGGAAGTCGTGCAAGAGTGACAAGACAAGGTGCACACATCATTGATTATCAATAATACATAAAATATTCAATAAATACAAACAGTAATTTTAAGGACACTGCCAACTTGTGCAAATACTGACATTAATTGACATGAAGGCAATAGAAATCTGTTTACAATGACATTTTACACAATGCAGTGGTTAAATTAACAGTAAAAATGCTGTTGTGGTTGACAGTTGTGATATCCTGTTTAACATACAGTTAACAATATCTCTTCATAAATGTATATACTTGTATTGATGTATGTATTGATTTTAAAATTTTGATTTTAACCTATAAAGCAGTACATGGGTTGGCTCCAGGTTACATCTGCCCCACTGAGCAAGCGACGTCTGTGGACATACAAAACAGGTTGATATCACGTCCGTCCGTCCAGGCCATAATCTGAACGTCCATTGACATCCAGAATTAGTTGATTAATGACAATGAGAAATTATGTCCAATCTGGCTATAATCTAAACGTCCACTGACAGCCAGAACTAGTTGAGAAAAGACGTTCATACTGGCTATAATCTGAACGTCCGGTGACATCCAGAATTAGTCGATGAATGACTTAAAAAAATATGTCCAATCTGGCCATAATCTAAACGTCCACTGACAGCCAGAACTAGTTGAGAAAAGACGTTCATACTGACTATAATCTGGACGTCCGTTGACATCCAGAAATAGTCCATAAATGACGTGAATAAAGATATCCAATCTGGCCATTATCTTAATGTCCACTGACAGCCAGAACTAGTTGAGAAAAGACGTTCATACTGACTATAATCTGGACGTCCGTTGACATCCAGAAATGGTCCATAAATGACGTGAATAAAGATGTCCAATCTGGCCATTATCTAAACGTCCACTGACAGCCAGAACTAGTTGAGAAAAGACATTCATACTGACTATAATCTGGACGTCCGTTGACATCCAGAAATGGTCCATAAATGACGTGAATAAAGATGTCCAATCTGGCCATTATCTAAACGTCCACTGACAGCCAGAACTAGTTGAGAAAAGACGTTCATACTGACTATAATCTGGACGTCCGTTGACATCCAGAAATAGTCCAGAAATGACGTGAATAAAGATGTCCAATCTGGCCATTATCTAAACGTCCACTGACAGCCAGAACTAGTTGAGAAAAGACATTCATACTGACTATAATCTGGACGTCCGTTGACATCCAGAAATGGTCCATAAATGACGTGAATAAAGATGTCCAATCTGGCCATTATCTAAACGTCCACTGACAGCCAGAACTAGTTGAGAAAAGACATTCATACAGACTATAATCTGGACGTCCGTTGACATCCAGAAATGGTCCATAAATGACGTGAATAAAGATGTCCAATCTGGCCATTATCTAAACGTCCACTGACAGCCAGAACTAGGTGAGAAAAGACGTTCATACTGACTATAATCTGGACGTCCGTTGACATCCAGAAATGGTCCATAAATGACGTGAATAAAGATGTCCAATCTGGCCATTATCTAAACGTCCACTGACAGCCAGAACTAGTTGAGAAAAGACGTTCATACTGACTATAATCTGGACGTCCGTTGACATCCAGAAATAGTCCATTAATGACGTGAATAAAGATGTCCAATCTGGCCATTATCTAAACGTCCACTGACAGCCAGAACTAGTTGAGAAAAGACATTCATACAGACTATAATCTGGACGTCCGTTGACATCCAGAAATGGTCCATAAATGACGTGAATAAAGATGTCCAATCTGGCCATTATCTAAACGTCCACTGACAGCCAGAACTAGGTGAGAAAAGACGTTCATACTGACTATAATCTGGACGTCCGTTGACATCCAGAAATGGTCCATAAATGACGTGAATAAAGATGTCCAATCTGGCCACAATCTAAACGTCCACTGACAGCCAGAACTAGTTGAGAAAAGACGTTCATACTGACTATAATCTGGACGTCCGTTGACATCCAGAAATAGTCCATTAATGACGTGAATAAAGATGTCCAATCTGGCCATTATCTAAACGTCCACTGACAGCCAGAACTAGTTGAGAAAAGACATTCATACTGACTATAATCTGGACGTCCGTTGACATCCAGAAATGGTCCATAAATGACGTGAATAAAGATGTCCAATCTGGCCATTATCTAAACGTCCACTGACAGCCAGAACTAGTTGAGAAAAGACGTTCATACTGACTATAATCTGGACGTCCGTTGACATCCAGAAACAGTCAATAAATTACGTAAATAAAAGATGTCCAATCTGGCCATTATCTAAACGTCCACTGACAGCCAGAACTAGTTCAGAACAGATGTTCATACTGCACTGTAAAAAAAATATCCTAATTTTACAGTAAATAACTTCCTATTTTCATCATTGTGGTGGCGTTCATGTGTGTTCAATTCGTAAATACGATCTTTATGACATGTCTTGAATGCATCAATAGCTCTATTTTAGGGACAATCCTTACAAACAATCATTGCTAAAATACATTACAGACTGTCACAGTGAGAAGATCTTTGTCCTTTATCAATGCTAAAGACCTAACCACTGCAGTCAACACCTTGGAGTATCCATGCTGTTAAATAAAAGTCTGTAGACAAGGGTTAAGGTTAGGGTTAACCCCTTAATTTCTAACCCCCGGTTTCACAGACAGGGTTTAGATATAAAGCCAGGATTAGGCCTTAGTTAAATTTGGGCATTCAATTATAGCTTTTAAAAATGTACCTTAGAAGAAAAAAACATTACTGGTGTGCATCTTGAGACAAAACAATGGCACTGACATAAGATATGTCAGTATAGCCTACAAGTTGCTTTCAGGTAATACAGCTCAAACGTGCATTTTAGTCTGGACTACAGGCTTAAAGGAGAACTCCGGCGCAAAATGAACCTCGGGTGTAATAACACATTGGTACAGACTAAATCGTTCCCTGAGATTTGTTTTCATGATAATCGAATGTAAAGAGTTTTATCTCTAAAAACAGTTTAGCTTATAACGCTAGTATATTGGGCATCGAGTAAGCAAAAAGAGATCGCTAGTTAATACCATTAACAAGGCTCAAATTAGCCCCACACTAACACGGCAGCATAATGAGTGTCCTTACATGCAAACCGAAGCATTGAGAACTTTGTAAGTGTATAGACAGTTTAATAAGAAGATACTTTACACAGACAGTACAGTTAGCGCATACAGACAGCAGCCATCTTGGAAAACAGTCTCGCATAAGAGAAGCACTTAACGCAACAGAGAAAATAAAAAAATAAATATAATTTATCTTATCTTCAATATCTACACGTACTGTTCGCTCACTCTCGTGGTTCGATTGGTCGAGACTGTTTTCCAAGATGGCTCCTGTCTGTATGCGCTAACTGTACTGTCTGTGTAAAGTATCTTCTTATTAAACTGTCTATACACTTACAAAGTTCTCAATGCTTCGGTTTGCATGTAAGGACACTCATTATGCACTGTTCTGATAAATTGCTGTTTATCAGAACAGTGATAAATAAATGTTATTATATATGGTATACAAGTTACTGTTTAATCTTTCATTTTTTATCTTTCATTTTTTATCTTTCATTTTTAATCATGCACTGCAATGAAAACACATTTAAACAATTGATTAAATATAACAGCCAGCCTACAAATACAACTAAATAGCACGTGTATATTTTTTTCCTATTCTTTCTTTTAAAACATTTCATATTGTCCTGTTATTGCAATGTTTTCACACTATTGGCTGTCTCTCCGAGTTGTTTTGAGCATGATTGGTTATTCTGACTGTCATCCAGGAATCTGGCCAATGACAACTATGCGCGCCTTTACCAGTCAAGTTTGAATACGTCAGTTGAAGTGAGTGGGTGTCTGTGCTCCTGCTCGGGACCTACTTCGGTTTTGTGGCTTTTACATTGTTTAAAACATGGATTATTTTACATCGGACTGCTAAATGTTTATTTTGAGCGAGTTGCGGGATGTAAATGAAGAACAAACAAGGAATATGGACAACGAACAATGGACATATTGCAATCTACGGAAGGTAACGTAAATAACTTTTTATTTTATACAAATTCTAATACATCAAAATATAGTGTATTAAATTGAGAATCTAAACGCGATTAGAGAAATATTGATATTAGTACGGTATTCCAATGTATTAGGCTAATTATGTGCTGAGCTAGCATGTGTATTGTCAGCTAACTTAGTTTATGATAAAAAAATAAAATAAAACTCAGCATTGGAGCTTTACAATGAGTGAACTGAGAACATTGTCTCTTTAGACAGAAGAACTCGAACCACACTCCTTTACTCGAGTCTAGAAGAATCTGCAAACTAGGCTTTTAAATTGTTGATCGCGGGATTTAACGTTAAAGTTAGGCCTAACGTTATTGTCTTGGAGCTGGTGAGTCAATTTTGCAAGCTTTTGTAAATGTCTCTGTTAGTAGCCTAAGTAAAAACAAATAGCTAATATTGCTGTGTGTGTTTCCTTCATGATCCAGGCATTTTGGGAGTAACGTTAAATATTATCCAGCCACACGATCTTCAGATGGTGAGTATTGTCATAAAATACACGTGAAATAGAGGCAGAACATGGACACTCTGCTCAAAGGCACACTGGTTCAAACCCTCCAGACAATGTTTTATCTTCTATCTTCTTGAGTTTATACAGGCCTAGCTGACCCAAAAATAAATGTCTAACTTACTTTTGTGAAACACAAGAATGTTGGGAATAAAACAACTGTATGAGAAAAACAAAAACAAATAAGGCATTTCTCAAGATATCTTAATTATGGTTCTACATAAGAAACTCATACAGTTTCAACATGAGGGTGAGTAGGCTAAATAATGAGAGAACTTTTCTTTTTTTTTTGGATGAGCTGTTCTTTTAAGGACATTTGCTAAATTAACCATGGTTTTTATTATAGTAAAGGTGTAGAAACCATGTTTTTTTTATGGTGGATTG